GGGGGGGGCGTTGTCATTTGGAATGCAGCAGCATTGCTCCTACCTTTCCTGAGTAGGGCAGGGAAACTCTGCCCTGAAAAGGTCCCTCCTGCCCTGCACCAAACAATTCCCCCCAAACCACCGTGATGCAGCCCGCTGCTCCTCATTTAACCCATCATGGGATTGAGGGGGGGGGTGTGTGCAGAGCCTCTTCCCACCCCGACCCCATGGATGGGGCAGAGCTGCATCCTCCATCCACCCTCCATTTTACTGGGGATGTGACACTCGGGGGCCAGCCGGGTGTCCCAGCCCCACACGGGCATGGTCAGGATGAGGCCAGGACCCCACGAGATGCAATGTGGGGTTTTCCCCGGCTCTGTGTGAGCTTCCCACGGCATCCACAGAGGGGGAAGGGGTGGCGGTGCTGGCATGGCCAGCATCTTGTCTCCACTTCTAGCTGGCCAGGCTCCCTCTGTGGCATTAAGGAGCATAGCCCTCATAGCTGTAGGCCGGGGGAGCCGACAGAACGATGGGCAGGTCTGAGGGGTTGTTGCTGGTGGCGTAGGGCATGGGAAAGGGAACCTGGAAAGCAGAAGGTGGCAGGTCCGTCATCACACAGCCCTGGCGTGTCCCCTTTGTCACTCCCCGCCAGGACACGGGTCTGGGGGATGCTTGGGGACACACGTGTGGCCTTCAGCATCTTGGCGTTACCGCAGATGCCTCTGCTGATGTGTCCCAGCTTCTCATTGAGTCCCACCCTGCCCGACCTCAGCTCAGAGCCATCCCCATCACCCCCCCAGTGCAGGAGGAGGTAACAGGGCACTACTCACGGTCTGGGGTGGGCAGCAGGCAGCCAGGTAGCCCCGGCAGCAGAACAGGGCAGTGATGGCGAGCTCCAGGAAGCTGGTGAAGAGCAGCATGCCTGAGAGCCCGGTGCTGGCTGACTGCAAGCAACACAACCCCACAGAGCATTGTGATCCACTTGCAGCAGCCCCATGCCGGTGCCCCGGCACGACCGTCACCACATCAGGCCAACGTGGGCTCCGTGTTGGCCAGGAAGCTGGTGATGGTGCAGTGGCAGAGCAGTATTCCTGCCCCACATCCTGGGGGGAACAAACCCCCTGGCCATGCTGACCCTCACCTCAGAAATATCCCTCCCTCTTGATGTCCCAGATGTGGTGGGGGCTCTGCCAAGCATCCCCCCAACCCTGGAGCCATATCTTGCTGGTGTGCCGCTACAGCCCACCAAAGCAAAAAAAAAAAAAAAAAAATTACATCGGGGGCTGACATCCTGCTCTCAACTCCAAGCAGCTGAGGGAACGGGGGGTGGGGGGGCTAAGTCTGGAGAAGAGGAGGCTGAAGGGAGACCCCATGGCCCTCTACAGCTCCCTGACAGGAGGGTGCAGAGAGGGGGGATGAGTCTTTTGAACAAGGAACAAGCAATAGGACAAGAGGGAATGGCCTCAAGCTGCCCAGGGCAGGGTCAGGCTGGCTCTGAGGAAGGATTTCTTTGCAGAAGGGGCTGTTGGGCGTTGGAATGGGCTGCCCAGGGCAGGGGGGGAGTCCCCATCCCTGGAGGGGTTGAAGAGTCGGGTTGACCCAGCGCTGAGGGATCTGGTGGAGTTGGGAACTGTCAGTGTGAGGTTCATGGTTGGACTGGAGGAGCTTCAAGGGCTTTTCCAACCCAGATGATTCTGGGATTCTGTGAAATACATGTGCCTTTTGCAAGCCATTTCTCTTCACCCCATTACTGAAGGAAGATGAAAAGGGGAGCCATTGTTTAGCTCCTTCTCACCAACTCCCTGTGATTTCTGGCCAGTCCAGCACACTCTGCTTTCCTCCCTCCCATCACCACCGGCACCAGCACTCACCTTTAAGCCAGCTCAACTCACTAAACCAGTGGAAAACCAATCTGGCAAAAGCTTGTAGTGAGATGGAGTTTCTAATGTTACTACATGGGGAGCCACTTACCGAGAGGGAGGCTGGGAAGTTCCTGTACATCGCAGCGACGCTCAGATCCGCTATTAGGAAGATGACCCCGACGCCTGCCGTGACGGCGCTGCAAGCGTTTGCTCCCAGGCTGCTCTTAACCTGGCAGAGAAGCGCACCGGTGTGGCTCACGGGGAGGCAAGAGGGACCTGCCATTTTCTGCCCACACATCCCAGAGATTGAAGGATGGAGGAGAGGGCAGGGGGAAATCCTCACCAGCAAAGGCTTGGGAAAATGCTCTGCCACCAGCAAGAGGGATCCTGAAGTGATAAACTGCTCCGAAAAGAGGAAAAATTGATGCTCAAGTGGGGGAAGACCCACCTTGGTGTAGCCACCACCACCTCCATGCGATGGGGAGCAGCGCAGAGTGGTCCCCCACACGGGGATGGGGATTGTCACGCTACGGCCCACACTTGGCATGGCCCCGCTGCCCGGCGTGAGCACACAGAGGGATTGATCGGGGTGGGGAAAGCTGCCCTGAGAGCCACCAGGCTTGGAGGAGATGGCTCTCCATCCCCCACAGCTGGGGTGACGATGGCACTGGAGATACTCGCAGAGCACCCATCCTGTTCCTCCTCCTCCCCCAGGACCCGTTTGGCACCTGCCCCGCGACTCTGGGGGTGCCACGTCCCCTGCACGCACCAAGATGCCACCCCAGAAGGGGTATGCGGTGGTGGTGGTGACAGACCAGAGGGTGAAGCTGGAGCCTGCGATGCTGGTAGCCACTCCGCCGAAACCGAGGTGGGCCACGCCGAGGACGACCTGGAGGGCCTGTGCGGAGGGATGGGGGTTGCTCGGAGCCACTCGTGGGGGCAGACCCACCACAAACTGCCCCCCATGGTGTTGGTGAGGGGAGAAGGGTCATGCTCACCCCCATCAGCTTGGGCTTCATCCAGAGCAAGATCTCAGCCATCGTCCCTGTCCCCTCAGAGAGCGCCTGCCAAAGCCACCTGGAGCACCCAGCCGTGGGGCTTCCCTATGGGGCTGGAGACAGGCAGCAGGGCCCCAGGGGGCTGGCTCTGTGGCTGGGGACACCGGGGATGAGGATCCTGGGGACAGAGCAGGCAGCCTGGGGACCCCGGCGGGATGGGACACACCTCACAGCCCTCCCCGGCGGCACACAGCTCTCTCCCAGGGGAATGTTGCTCCTGGGCACTCAGCAGCAGCCAGACCTGGAGGAAAAGGCACCCAGAGGTGGTATTGGGGTGGCTTGGTGAGAGCTCCACTTCCCTCCTCTTCCTCTGTTAGCTATTTCTCCCCCTTCCTCTTCAATTTTTTTTTTTTTTTT